ACACGTAGGTTGAATAGTGGCGCTGATGTGGCATGTTCACAATTCAACGTGACATTTAGAGACGACGCATTGCGCATGATAAACTTATTTCTCAGAAATGGAATAGAAACAAAACTGATAACAAAGCTTTTTTGCGTAGTTTTGTGTGACAGTATAATAAAATAACTTGTTCCATATTCAGTCACAAATTTCCAGTGAAAATATTTTTCATTTTAGCAGAAATGCCTGGTCAGAGTGTCCAACCAAGCTAAACTTTTACCTGTCAAAACTTCAAATCTACCGGACAATAATTGTCCAATGACTGACTGTTATTTGCAGGCTTGTGCACCATTAAGGACTCATTATACAGATGGCAGAAGTCATGCACTGGAGAAATAATTCTATGATCTTACCTGTTGATAAATACATCCTTGAATTAACTAAACAATTGACAGGGCTTCTGGTAGGTCGCAGGAGAAAAGTCAAATTTCGCGGGATTTTCCGGGACAAATTCGCAGAAGAAACAGCCGATTTCACAAGAATTTCACAGGAATTTTTGAGGCCAATTTCTCTGAAGGAACTTAAGTTATGCTATACCTACTATACAAAGGAAATACATTATGTTTGATTCTTGTCAGTCTTTGTTTTTTTGATTCCCATTCTTTGTTTGGACTTTCGTAGTTGCCAAGAAATAATTTAAAATTGCTCTATGTTTGACCATGAGGTTATTTTAAACAGAGATCATCATTTAACAACAACACACTCTAGAAATGCGCCAATAACAAAGCTTTTTTCATCGTGGCTGCTGTCCAGGTTTTCGCAATATTAATCTACATGTAAGAACGCATGGTAGTTTTGGGATGTTGTTTACTTGTTGCAGTAACGAAGTTTCAAGGTAATTTAGCAAGTTAACAGCAAGTAAGCAGCGCCAAAACCCAAGATGACTTTCAAACATGCTGTGCCGACAAGTATTTCGTAAGATTTCTAGCAAATTTCGTGGGATTTCACATGTTTTTGTGAATTTCGCAGGATTTCATGGATTTACTTGAAATTTGTGGCTTAGCAAGCACGCTTTGAGTTGGGATGTCCCCCTGCCATCAGGCGCTTTGCATGCTCATTTTTTCCCCTTACCTTCCCCTTTGGATGCCTGCCATACAGGCTATTTCTGTATCGTTTTGGCATACATGTATGTACATAGACGCCGCCATCTTTGTTTCAATGAAAGAAAGCTTTCTTAACCCAGGCAGATTTTCTTCCAAAAATGTGCAACCAAGTGTCACACAGTGGTCTAGGTCAATGTTTAAAATATAATTTCTAGTCAGTTTACAAGAATGAAGCAAATCAGAGCCAGGAAAAAGAAGAAAAGGTCCAAAATTCGACATAAGGCTGATATGCATTCAGGAGGATATAGCAGTTTAGAGCCATGTTTACTTGATAATTATCTGTTTTCTGGCATTGTACATGAAGTAATACAGTAATTTGGTCACTATATTGTGGTGAGCTTTTCTGCAGAGCCAGTTGGTAATTAAGTATCTCTTTTGTGTGGTTAGGTTGACTTAGGTCTCTATTATGGTTGGTGGGGGTATAGGGGTATGCTTAATGGAAGAATGGCATGGTGGCCTGAAGGTCTGAGTTGGAACCTAGCAGAGTGATACCCTACCCGATTGTTCATATCCTCCCTGCCTACAGTTTATCTTAGGGCTAGACATAAAAATTAATAACATCCAATTGTA